AAGAAAGAAAGAAAGAAAGAAAGAAAGAAAGAAAGAAAGAAAGAAAGGGAGAACTGCTCCTAGGTACGGTGGAGGAGAAAGTTTATAGTAGATAAAAGGGAGAGCAGAGCCAGAGGCAGAGACATAGAGACGTGTGGGAGAGTCCACTGTGGACATGACCCTGAGCCTGGTGAGGGGAGAAGGGAGAGGAGATAGAAGGGAACCAGATGCAGCAGCCAGGAGGCTCAAGAGAGGTGGGTAACTAAAACGGCTATATTCTATAAGGAAGGGCAGCTGTGGAAAAGGTTCTTCTCCTCTGGACTGGAAAAGTTTAGGGTAGGGGTAGAGTATGCCTGCCAGGAGGACTCTGGAACAGGTAGTGACTGAGGGATGCTGGGAGAACCTGGAGGCCAGGTCTGCTTTGATATGTTAAGTAGGCACCTCAGACTTTGTCCCAGGCTTGAGATCTAACAGTGGGATCTTTTTTGGATTAGCCTGAAATGGGCCAGATCCTTGTGAAGGGTCAGAGAACTTCCTGAGTTCCAAGACCAGCATACTTACAGTAGGCCACCACTCAATATACCACTATGAAAGAACTGCTCTACCAATGCTAAGCGTTGGGAGATCAGTCATAAGATTCGTGGTTCTTCACAATTTGTCTCTTAGAACCAGACAGAATCACAGTGGTCAGGTCTCCTCATTGCCTCTGTGCCAACCTGTTCTGCTTCAAAATCTCCTACACTCACTTGAACATTATCCAAACTGGAGGGAGGTTAGAACTCAGGCCCTTAGGTGGGACACAGGGGGGATGGGAAGTGCCTCCAGACCCCTTGCTGCCTTGCATTGCTTCCAGTGATCTAGTTCCCCCTTCCTCTGTTTCCTTGTCTTCCTCTCCTCTGTAAAGAGATGAACCTTGGAGGTATGGGGGTGGGGGTGTGAATTTTCCCATTCCACTTTATTGTCTCTCTTTGAAGCCCCAGAGCAAGATGTCTGAAATGTCTGAAAGGCAAATGGCAATCAGTCCAATAACCAGTGTTGAAATGCAAGGGTCTAGCATAGAACCCCGGGGCCCTGAGCATTGCCATAGCTGCTTCTTGTCCACTGGTGCGGTCTTTCTCCAACTGAGTAGCGGGAAGAACCAAGTCTGGATGGCCTTTGAAGAGCAGCCCACACCAGGCACCACCATGCTGGCTGCTGGAGCCCTTAGGGCACAAAACTTACATTGACCTTTAGTTTTTTATTAGTTGTATGTCTCTTCCTTTTCCATATCTCTTTTTTCTTTCCTTTCCTTTCCTTTCCTTTCCTTTCCTTTCCTTTCCTTTCCTTTCCTTGTTTCTTCTCCCTCCCCCCTTTCTCTCTCTCTCTTTTTACACTCACCGCAGACCTGATGGAATGGTGAACCAAGTTAAGGGTGAAGCCAAACAGAGCAACGTTTCAGAGCCAGCCAAGCTGCAAGTCCAGTTCTCTGCACGTAAGTATCCACGTCCCTCAGGAAGTCTCGGGGATGGGAGACATGCATATGGACAGCAAGCAGGAGCCCTGTGTTCGAACACATCTGAGTCCTGCCATCAAGGTTCAATTCCGTGTGCAATTATTTTCTGTGCACCTACTGTGTGCTCTTCCCTGGGCTAGGCACTGGGATGCACAGGGATGCAATGTGGAGTGAGACAGAGCCAGCTGTGTCCTCACAGGCTGACAGCCTCTGTGAACACTGAGGAGGAACCAGGAAACTTATTGTCATTTCAGCAGACAAGGCTCAAAAAGCCCGATCTTCTGGGAAACAGAAGCCCCCAAATTACAAGATGTTGAGAGAACAATTGGCCTATGCAAAAGCTTACAGGCAAGAGATAAGGGGAAGGCCTGGCTCTGCTGCTCTCTCACTGCCTTCTGAGTTCTGGGCGACCTTACAAATGGACACAGGCTACGGAGAAATTAGTTAGTTTTGTTTGCCCTGTAGATATATCAGAGATTTCAGCTCAGACCTGTAAGGCTTTCTCTTGCTAGAAATGCTTAGGAGCCCCTCTCCCTACCTATGGGGTAGACACTAAAGTCACTCACTCCCTGCAAGAGAAATTACCATCCTTCTCCTTCCTGCCAACATATCCCTGCTTTTACCCCTAGCCCCACCCCCGAGCCAGTCAAGTCCCTAGAGTAGGGCAGAGAGGACGTTCCTATAAACCGAGAAAGGACCGCATTAAGGATAAAGCTGTTCTTCCCACACATGTGACTGTGAGCAAATACCTCTAGGTGAACCAGTGCCCAGGATTCTGAAGCTAGACTAGACATGCTCCGTGCAGTGTCAGGGCTCTGTACGTGTTTGCTTCTCTCATCTTTACAAACAAGGAAGTTGGATTGCAAGACATCTGAGTAAGATGGATAGATGCTGAGCTCATTGGAGCCTGACTCTCTGAACCCTCATGTGAGAATTTTTCCCCATGATATGGATGGGAATGGTGTGGGGATGAGAGTGAAGGTGATAAGCCTTAGTTTCTATCAACCCTTGGATTCTGGGGTGTCCATGGCAACTGAGGCTGTACCTTCCCCATGTGAAGTATCATATGCACAGGCTACCGGAAGGAGTCCTGGGAGCAGAGGTGGGAGTGGTTTTCTGGGGAAGTTGAGGACTGAGAGGCTCATTGGGAATAAAGGGTGTTCTAGTTTGCTTTCTGTTGCTATGGATTGTGGATGTGTTCAACTTGTAGGTTATAGTCCATCACTGAGGGAAGCCAGGGCAGGAACTGAAGTCAAGATCATGCAGGGACACCGATTACTGGCTAGCTCCCTGGAACTCATTCAGCTTGATGTCCTTGATATAACTTGGGACCACCTGCCCAGGAGTAACACCACCCATGGCGGGTCGAGCACACCCCATTCATCATTAACCAAGAAAATGCCCCACAGGCCAATCTGATAGAGGCAGGCCCTCAAACAAGGGTCTCTCCTTCCAAGATGTCTCTAACTTGTGTCAAGTTATCGAAAAACTAACCAGCACAGAGAGGCTAAGCAGTTGTAGGGGACCATCTAGGATATTTGGGAGATTATGGGAAAGATGGATGTTCCAAATAGAGAGAATGGCGTGGGAGAATCCCACATAAATGTCTAGAGCATGGGAAGGTACCTCCAGTACAGGATGGAATTAAGGAGGCCCCCAGATGAAGTTTGCACCACAGTTTGCATGAGCAGAAGCAATGGCAACACTTACCAATAAAGAGAGATGTGAAAGTTGTCTGTGCTAAGAGGAAACGCTGGGTAAGTTTATTCTTGAGAGACAGACAATGTGTGGGAAAGATAGAATGTTTACATCTGAGTGGATCTAAGACCCTTTGGTGCTGGTGAAGAGGTGGGAGACACATTTTTCCAAAACTCAAATGCAGAGTGACTAACTTCACAGACAGTGGACACATGAGGATATCCTCACTCATGTGTGTGTGTGTGTGTGTGTGTGTGTGTGTGTATATGTGTGTCACATGTAAGGACCCCAAGTCTCAAATGGCGAGTCAGCACCAACTGTCCACCCAGGCTTCCTCCTTCTTCTCAGCACCCCTCTACTTTCATATTTATAAAAATAGACTCAAAGGTAGGAAGAGCCTTGGTGGCTGGTCCTCTGGGCCCAGATTTTCACTGGACCCTTGACACCCACCCATCCCCATCCTCCCTTATCACAGTTTCTCAGGCAGACCTGGCAGTAATAACAAGAACTGTTAATATTTTTGAGTGGAAGGGGTGAGCTCTCTGGTATCTAAAGAAGCATCACCCATGAGAGCACATGTGCCCATATTTTTGTATTTCTGAGGTCTGCAGACAGCTTTCCCCCACTTTAAATCACACTTTCCCTCTTTAAATCAGGCCCCTTCAGTTTACAGAAGTCTGCTACTAGACCTAACGCTAGTTATAAGTCAACCCGAGCTGTAGAGTGAGGCTCCATCTCAAGACTAAAAGATGGCTGGTGATGTGGTTCCATGGATAAAGTAGTTACTCTTTGAGCCTAAGGATCTGAGTTTGAACCCAACCCACCTAAATCTGCAGAGAACTCCACAATGTTGTCCCTTGCCCTCCATACACGTACCATGGCGTGTGCCCCTGCGCCCAGCGCGCGCGCACACACAAATAAATACTTTTTTTTTTTTAAAGAAGCCAACCACCTGGAAGTTGAAGCAGGAGAAGGGTGGGGAAAGGGCTGTTTAGTGTCTCTCACAGCCCCCATGTTTCAGTATCGATTTAGAGATTGGGTCCCTAGAGCCCTGGAGAGTAGACTTCCCTTGCCCTGGTCGTTTCTCATGAGGCTGTTTCTGGTTCTCAGTGATGCCACCGGCACCCTACTGGATCCTGGCCACCGACTATGAGAACTATGCCCTCGTGTACTCCTGCACTACCTTCTTATGGCTCTTCCACGTGGATTATGTTTGGATCCTGGGAAGAAATCCTTACCTCCCTCCAGAAACAATAAGCTCCCTAAAATATATCCTTACTTCTAATGACATCGACATCGACAAAATGACAATAACAGATCAAGCGAACTGCCCGGACTTCCTGTAAAGGGGGTGGGGAAAACACTCCAGGTTATTTCCTCGCTTTGCGGTCCCTCACCCCACTCCCACTCCTTATAAGGACCAAGCAACCGCGGCAACGCCCTAGAGGGAAAGTATGGTCATAGAAGTCAATGGGACTCATCAGAAGTTGGCCCAAACCCAGCCAGACCCCACACTGTTACCCTGCTAGCCCAATAATAAATAAACATTTTGCTGATCAGCTGTGTTTCCTGTGGATTCTTTTTTTTTTTAAAGGCTTTTCTTTTTCCTAAGATTAATTTATTTACTTTATGTATATGAATACATTGTAGCCATCTTCAGATACACCAGAAGAGGGCATCAGATGCCATTACAGATAGTTGTGTGCCACCATGTGGTTGCTGGGAATTGAACTCAGGACCTTTGGAAGGGCAGTCAGTGCTCTTAACCTCTGAGCCATCTCTCCAGCCCCTTCCTGTGGATTCTGGGCTAGGTCTATTGTGCAAGAGTCATGATTGGCAGATGGTTGGAAAACTTTCGGCCGTAGTTTAAAGACAGAAGAAAGCTGAGGCCTAATCAGATGCTGGCGACTTGAATCCAGGGTCCCACTCCACAGCAGATGCTCTGGAGGAAATTCTGAGACATTTTTCATTTCTATCTGGAGATTTCCTTGAAGCTTTTACTTTCTTATCGGGAAGTTCTTGCAACAGGGCTGAAGAGTGAGCATCCTGGGAGGATCTGGGAAAAGTGGACAGTCTGTGAGAAGACAAAGGGATTTTTTTTTTAATGACGCGAAATCTTTGTTCTTTCACTCAGTTAGAATTTACAGAGGTCCAGTTGCATTCTAGTTACCAAAAAAAAAAAAAAAAAAAAAAATCTAGACTCCCTGACCACTGCTCTCTCCCCATCCCTACCTCACCCCACTCCCCAAGAGTCAACCCTGCCCATTGATAGAAACAAGACAGAGCAATGTAGAGTGCATCATGGGAAATCGAAGACCATCCCACCCACTTCAAGACACAGGCTTAAGCTCTCCTGTCTGTCTTCAAGCCTTGGCATTCCCATGCCCCTGCTCCAGTAGCAAGTCAGGAACCATGTGGAGTTGTGCTTTCTGACCTTGTGACTTTTAAAATCAAACGACCGACCGCAGATTTGTCACCGCAGGAGTCCACTTAGTTTGTGTGTATAGTACATACTATATCTGCCAATATATACAATTTTCATTTAATTAAAGAAAAATAAACTCAAAATATAGTTCCCGGTTTACAATTTAAAAATTCTGAAAACAACAGGGCAAAAATGTAGTACAGGGCTTGTACGCGGTTAACTGCTTCCCCTGCTCTGCTTGTATGTCTTGTGTATGTGACTGCACTGTCCAGCCCACCAGAGACCCTTGGCTACTCTTCGAGAATACAATGATTCTTCAGAGTGCTGTTTCCAACCATCTGCTATGTTATGGTAAAAATTATATTGTGTAGCCAGTGACATGACTCAGCTGCTAAATGAATGAATAAAAGAAATAAAAAAAAAAGAAAAAGAAAAGAGTGTGACAGCTCCTAGGTATGGTGGAGAAGTTTTGTTATAGACATGTGGGAGAGTCCAGAGTGGATACAACCCTGAGCTGGGCCATTTAGGAGAGGAGGAGGGGAGGAGAGGGGAAGAGAGGGGAGGGAAGAAAGGGGAGGGAAGGGGAGAGAGGAGATGCTGCAGCCAGGAGGGCCAAAGGTACAAAGAGGGCAGGAAACCAAAAGGATTGGATTAGTAGGGAAAGGTAGCATAGCCCCCCCCTGGGTGGGAGAATTCAGGGTATGGGCCAGGGTGTGCCATCCAGGACAGCCTGTAACAGGTCAGGACTGAGGGATGCAGGGAGAACCTGGCAGCCAGGTCCGCCTTGATATGTTAAATAGGCACCTCTGCCCTTTGTCCTGGGTACCTGCCACCAAGGCTAAGGACAGGGAAAGAAGCCAGAGAAAAGTACAGTAGGACATCCATAGCAAAGTAAAGACAATGGTGCATAGTAGGCCCTGCATAGCCATCAACAGCTCCAACAGGCATCAGCACGTCACCAGGCTCACTGCGCTATCATCTGCAACACGCCCTCTCCCCGAGTGTTTGTAAAGCGAATACCAGATATCACAAATCAGTGCTTGGCCTATAGCTACTACCTAACTGGACATTCCTGGTAGATATAGGTATGTGTAAAATTAAAATATTGCAAGTTACAGCTTATGTCCTGGAGTTATTCAGAAAATATAATCTCTACGTAGTTTTAAAAATATTTTTACATAATCTAGGTGACAGGGGAGATGTATGTTGGTAAATGTTTATTGCGTTTTTATTTGAGGCAGCCCCAGATTTAATTTAGATGAAATGGAAGATGTATGTACAGAAATGTTCACTATGATTCTATTTGTGGCAGCCCCGAATAGAAAGCTAGAGAAGGAGATCCCAGGTTATAGACTAGCTGCTTGATGCTGTCCATGCCTCCTGTTCCTGAAGCAGGGAGAACTCCAAAGTCATAAGGGAGTTGCTGCTCTGTGTGGGGGTTTGGGAGGTCTCTGATGACTGAGCATGGAACTCTAACTCTGCAGCCACACCCAGATGAGCCAAAAACACACAGACATACACCCAGACACAGGGACATACTCAGACACACAGAAACACACACACAGACACATGCACTCCCCCTACCTTTTTATTCTGAGATAATTTGACTTAACTGAGTAAATGTTCCTTGCA